GGTTTTGGTGTGACTGAGGACAACTTTCTTTTTTTTTGCACGCTAGAAGATGTGTACTCAACCATGAATTCTGCTCCTGCTTCACAGATATAGGGGGTCAGTAGCATGAGGACAGCCACAATGAATCAGACCAAACCTATAAAAAGCCAGGCTCCTTCCTCTGCCAGTGGCCAGGGATGGGTACTTTGGGAAAGAGTACAAAAAACAGGGCAAGGTTGACTCTTCCTCTAATATACCCTGGTGAGATCTGGTAATTTGGTGTTCAGGGAGCCAGACTCAGAGGCTGGTTTTGCATCTGTGCCTTTAAAATCCTTTCTATGATCTGTTTAGCTCCTTTTTAAAGTCCATTTGCACGCCTGGTCTCTGTAACACCCTGCTCCTATCAGTCTTGGTTTATTTCTACTGTGCTATATAAAGAGAACTTGCCTGTTTGATTTAAACCTGCTGCCTGGTAATTTCAATAGGCACTCAGACTTCTTGTTCTGTGATAGAATAATCCCCTCCCTAATCACCCTCAGACCATATGTTGAATACCAGGTCATCAGCAGTAGAACCACTATCACTGCTATCTGTCCCACAACACTCTGGTGGAGCAGGGACTAGATGTAGAAACACTGAAGGAAATACCAAGAGAAAACAAAGAACATAAAGATAAAACATAGGTTTTATCTTCTGCCATCACCACACCTACAAATTACTGGGAAAACTTTCAGAAAAAGAATTTCATGGAATCTCAACAGTTTCTGAACTTACTAAATAATAACCAAACCCTTCAGGGATCCAGTAGGTCTCCTTGCAGAACAAGCCCAGGGTTTTGTACTTTAAACAAAGAAACTGCTCGAGCTAATGAATGACAGCTGTTAGAGTTCACCTTCCAGTACTTCCAGGAAGGGCTGGAAAACATGCTAGTGGAGACATTTTTCAAGATTCAAATTCCTCAGTACTGAACAAGTCAATTAAATATATCAAACTGTTCAATGCAAGCTGTAACTTGTCATTTGAGTTTATGGAGAACTTGTCAAAAAATTACACAAGAAAGTGCACAGCAAAACTTAAAACATAGAAAACTGTGAACAGTTAAATAATTTGTCTTTTACAAAAGTGCAACTGAAATAACTGAGCTACAGATAACATTGACTTCGAATTAGCAAGAAATCAGTCAGTTTAAAAATTATAAGAACTAAAAAACTTTGCCTATTTTCTATATTCCAAGATTATTCTTTGAGGAAGCTTTCTGCTCTCTAAAATGTTCATGCTTTCATGAAGCTGACAAAATTGCCATGAAAATGTAACGGGAATGAGTCAATATATTTTTAGAGCAGTATCTTCCACAATTCCAGAGTACTAATAGAGAGTATTAACACTGATAAATGGTTTTGAATTATCTAGAGAAATGTTACAGCAGTACTAAAAATAATTAACTTTTCTGTTACATTGGACAGTGCAAATAATGTTCCACAAGGACTTGATGCACACTTCTAAGACAGCTTAATATTGTTTGTCCAGTATCTGTTCTTACAACTAAATATAACAAAACAGACCACAATGATAGAGAAGGATTAGACTAATACCAGAGTGAGGCAATGGAACTATTCAGCTAGTGCATCATGCCTTCAGCTCCAGAAGAGAGGAAAAGTTTGACACTTGTGGGAGAGGAAAAGTTGCAGGAGTTTTACACAAGAATGAGTAGAAAACAGGTCTCTTATGAGAAGTACTCTCCAGACAACAGCCCTAAGGGCCTGTGTTACAAGATACAGGACCCTTGGGGAAAACCAGTGATGAGCGTGTGATAAGTCTAGCCAGGGATTTTCAAGGTGGTTTTGAAGAACAGGGAAGGAAGGCGTCAGGACAGGGCTCTGGGTTTTATTACACTGAAAAAAAATGAAACTGAAGAAGTTCCTAAAAGGGAAAATAATGCAGTGCTGAGATCCAGTATTGTTTGGGACACTCATTTAAAAGCTGAAAAGACAATTAAATGCCTCATGACAAGGCGTTCTCTGGCAAGAAGGCCAAGTTACATAAATAAACAAAAAAGGAAGCCTGATGCTGAGATGGTGCAGCTGCCCTACAACATCCTACACCTTATCAGCATTTTTGAGATCTCTGGTAGGGAGCTGTACAGAGTGAGTTCTGGACAGACAGTAAGGAATTGATTCTGTGGTTTTCAGTACACTGACTCAAATCCATTTCAGTCCTTGCAAACCACACAACCCAAGAGGGCTCCCTTGCAGTAGTTCAGCCCACTTTGGAAAACTAACTTTTAAAAAACTTAGTAGTTTCCAAACTAACTGTCGCAAACTTCCCCCAGAAACTTCTGCTCTCTGCCTTTGCTGTCTGCTCTCCTCCAAAATACCCTCATCTGTATGGGGCCTGCTCCATTTCTCCACTCCAGCCCAGTCCCCAGGTTCCTGCCTAGACTTGCCTCTACAGTCTCTAGGTTCATCTCTGGTGTGATATTTTGCTTTGGTGACATTGCCCCATCCACAGAGCTAGACCAATGTGAGATGAAAGATTAAGAAACTCAGCAAACGAAGGAAGTGAAAGTTGTGATTCAACAGATGATGATTCTCTCAGGCAAGACTGAAATCAGAGTGCTGCCAAAACATTCATCAACTGGCCTTTTAAGGTGCCCTTTTTCAAACCAGGCAGTAAAAAACGTTGTTCTTTCTCAGAGTTTTGAGAGAACTACTAAAGACAGTGGGTTAACTTAGAAATCCCCTGACCTGCTGATGCAGATCTGCAGTGTTTCACTTGGGAAATACATGCATTTCATAGGTAAGCAATGTGTTCCTGACACATACTTTGCACAAGGTGACAGTGGTCACCATTCAAGGAGCTAAAGAGTTAGGATTCTCCATCCTGGTGAAGAGACCTTTGGGAGACCTGATGGCATGTATAGGAAAAATTCTTCACTGTCTCTTCAGATATTCAAGAATGAGGAGTCATCAATGATGCTAAGAGAAGCTGTGTTCTAGACAGCCCTACAGACCACCATGCTCCTTGCCTGAGGATTTTCTAGGTGCAGAAAATCCTCAACAGAGACTGAACGAGCATTTAGAAGATACTTGTTTATAGTCACTAACTAGATCAATCACACCAGGTTCAGGAAATTCCTAAAGTGAAAACATGTATAGTCTGGGAAAGTATCTGGCAGAAGTGTCATCTGGCATATTGCTTTTGGTTTTGGCTTGCTTTTAGTCAGGACAGATAGTTAGAACTGGTAATTGAATATTGGCCATGGTAAAACCTGTAGTTATAACTTCTTTGAACTAACAGCATGAGGAAAGAGTATCTTGACAGCAAATAATGTACTAAACAGGCCTTACCATCAGTTTTTTGGAGGCAAGGCAGGAAAAACAGCTTATTGTCTTTTCTGTAAAATTCCTGTCCGACCTTACCCCTGCAATACAGTGTAAGGGTGAGATTAAGATGGTGCAATAAGCCTAGAGTTCCACCAGGTGGTAAACTAGTCCCACAGTGCCAGGCTAAAAATGCTTCAGCCAAGAACCATCATTAGTCCCAAACTGCCAGATTTAAAATGACCACAACACCTGTCTTGTGTACTGTCCACAGTTCTCACAATGGTCATCTTCCTTGTCAGCAAGGGTGACCATAGTATCTTTTTCCATGGAAAGTGCTTTCCTGTCCTAAAGCCCCCTGTTGATTCTCCACATATGAATCATAACCCTCCCTGTCACTGTCTTCCTGCTAATCCTGTGTTGGGCAGTGGCACCAATACAGCTACTTTCTTCCCAAGATTTCTACTTCGATAACTGTAACTATTAAAAAACCCTGCTGAATACTATGTGACGTTCACTTATGTGTGTCACAGAAATCTGATCAGCAAGTGCAGATTGAGAAGTTCTCTGATTTAAAAATCTTGAAAACCACAGCAAAGTCTACAAAAGAAATTTAGAACGTACTGGTGTGAAAACAATTTAGTCCAGTTGATTAAAGATGAACTAGAACCTAAAACATAGCTTTCATTGTGCCACCATGTCTTACACCAGGAAAAGTTATGGACACACAAAATACTAAGACAGCACTGCAGCTCTTGTAACCCAAGTTGCTGCAGTTACTACAGAGAAAAGTTTTAGCATCTTTCTTGCAACAGCGGGAAAGGTCTTATTTTACACCATAATAAAATGAGTAGTTCTTTCTGACACCCTTAGAATCAAGGCTTCTCGGTGGGCATTACTGAACTTAGGGAAGCATAAGCACATGATTTTAAATCTACAAATTCAAAGTTCAGTTCTGTAGTTGTACAAGAGCTTTTCAAACACTATAAATCTCTGGAGCCCTGTAGAGCTGCAGATACGTCTCTTAAGACTTGTGAGCTAACTCAGCTTAACCATACAATATGTACCTATTATTCCAGAGAAGACAGAAGGGTGTATATTTTGGCTTCTGGATGAACTTTCATTATGGTAAACATTACATTTAGTGTGCATAAACAGCTAGAGTGGCTGCAAGAAAAAAAAAAAAAAAAGATTGTGGCAGTAGGGCAGGGGAGTAGTGTGTTTGACCTGGATCTCAGTATGAGAAAAGAATTCTCTCCAACAGATCCCTTCTGCTCGTTCTTTCCCTTTCCTTGGAAGTCTAAAAGAGAAGGTTGTGCTTTGGCTTTTTAGCCTGGATGAAGTCACATACGCAATATGTTTGCAATATGGTTTTGGAAACCTGATATTTTATGAAGGTGGTGCTATGTAAGAGTAAATCTGAAGACAGAGTTGAAGGAAGGGGACAGAGGAATTGGGAAACAGTGGACAAATCTCTCATCACTGGGAAGATGTAGTACCTGATCTGGAGTGCTAATACATTTCCAGAGGAGATTGCAAACAGCATATTTTGGAGCCTGAGTGTTAGTGCAAACCTCTTTAGGAGACCCACTGTCTTTGGGCAATGCTACATTTCACTTTTTCACTTCTCTTTTATTAACTATGAAAAGAGGATCAGTCATTAGAAGAAGAAAGGTTTTCCTAAGGCATTGCATAACTCACCTTCCAGAAGGTAGCCTGAAGGAATTCCAGCACAGCAGCTTCTTGTTCTGTAGCTGTCCTTTCCCTCCTTCATACACCTAGGAGAATCAATCCTGCATTAAAAAAAACCAAAGAATAAAAGGGGGATTCTTATGAACCTGCCTCCAGACAAATTACTGAGATGACAGATGTAGAAGGAAAGGTTTTCTTCTTCCTCTTATAACCTTCACATTGCCTACTGTTTCAGCTCAGTCACCAAAGCTTTTACTTCTCTCTCACTATAATCATACTGAGATAATAACTTAATTCAACTTGTATTGTCATGCAAAACCTTAGAGATGACCTCTGTTAAACAAGAGTGCTTGTCTAACTTTGCAAGCCCTCAAAATCTTTTTGAAGTCACAATAAATGCTTTGTGTGGTAGAGTACACTGGATGAGATTGGTTCTTTTAACTTAAGAAGTAACAGAAATGCCAACTTGATGGTGAATTTTCCTGTTCTCATCTTTTTTCTTCCCATTTAGTGATAAGCAACTGCATTGATTTAGTGCTCAAAATAAAAGTATCAAACAGCCTTAGTGAAAGCATGTGCCTGTCTCAGTCTGAATCAGGCCTGATTGTGCTTTGTTACCTTAGAACATGCACTGTCTCTTGTTCTTTTGTTAATATCCTCTTTGTGCATAAATTCTCCTTTAAAAAAAAAAAAGGAAAACCAAGGTAGACAGCACCTAAATACAAGCAGCAGAGAAGCTTCAGAGCTCTCTTAAAGTATAGGTAGGACAACAAAAATGAAGAAATAAAATTAACAATACTCTTTTCTTCATAGGAGGTCACCTTACATAAAACTGTAGATAAAAGTACAGTTCATCAAATCTTCTTGAAATCACTGTACCCCTACGACCTGCTCTAGAATCACATTTGCATCAGTAGAGGTTTTGGCTACAAAGCAAATCTAAATCACTTCACTGTCATTGGAAACAAAACCTACCACAAGATCCTCGCTACATGTACAGGTATGAAAACGTAGAGATACAATATTCAAATGGAGAGGTACAATATTCAAAGTCATTTCACCGTGCAAATTTTCAGTCAGACTTTAAAAACTGACATAGAGATTTCAAGGGAGGTCAAGACCTCGGAATTTCACCTAGCACACTAAAAGCTCAAGGTACAATTCCTCAGATTCAATTCTTGTTCAATTAAGTGCAAGAAGGAATTCCAGGCTTTCCTTTTTGGCTCTGAGTGCTTTTTTCCTCTTCCTTTATTTCCACAGAAAGGCCCACCCTTCATACCAACACCATGCACTGCAAATGCAGATCAAAATGCAAGATATCATTTTCTTGCCTCATATCACTGTTGAGCATCTCATACACATCAGTACATGCTCCTATTCTCAGTACTTTAAAGAGAAGTAACCAGAAATAATGTGGTGAAGCACCACATTGAGTTCAAAGAGTGAAAAACGTGGCTTGAACTACTCTCTACAATGCTATTTTCCACCTGCCAGCACAATTTGGTTGTACACATATAAATAGGACTACAAAAACAATCTCCTATGCATGGGGCCATTTTTGATGCACTGTCTGCTTATTGCACCTTCTCCACTGCTGCAAAGTGAAAGTACACGGCATTTGGCCGAAGTTTCAATCTTAAGGTGCTGTTATAGAGGAGGTCCTCACAAGGAGCTAATGTGAGAGGCTTCAGCACAGAAACAGTAGGAGTGTCTTAACACTCTGTCACTCCTCCTCACCTCCATCAGTGAGTGTAGCCTGACCAGGCTGTAAAGAAGTTGTGCTTCAGCAGCAAGAGTAAGACACTGATCTGACAACTTGTTTGCAGCAAAGGAAATTCTCACTAGATATGAGAAAAAATTCTTCCCAGGGAGAGTGGTGGAGTGCTGAGGCAGGAGCCCAGAAAAAAACGAGGAAGGAGGTTTCCTAAATGCAGCTGGACAAGGAAAATCTTGTGCAACCTCATCCAGCCTGGGAACTGTGAACCCTTGGGGTTGGACTACAGACCTCCAGAGGTCCCACCCAGCTGAATTACCAGATGTTATCAATCAAAGCTTGCATTCAGTCTAATACAGAAAAAACCTACCAACACACTAAATCAGCATGAATGTGTTTTACATGTCTTGGCCTCAGCATTTATTTTTTTCATTTCCATAGCATCTAAGAACCACAAAGAGCAGAGCTTTACTACAGTAAGTAGCAGAAGAAGTACACAATGCACACTATCATGAAAGTGTTTTGATAAATCCACTAGATGCAATTCAAGAAGAAACTGAGCTATCACAGCCAGCCCTGGATAAAGAATGGTTGAAAGACCTGCTTAGAGCAGCCAAAGCTCCTAAGATCATAGTGCCTTACTCCCTCAGCCACAGATCTCTTCTGCAAATAACAACACATTCCTTCCTTCACTCCTACCTCCAGTGGGTCAGGTTTCCTGGCTCATCAGGGATCCTTGTCCTCCAGATGTTGGCAGAAGAGAGCACAACTCAGAGATCTTCCATTCCTCCTTGCAGCACTTCAGCAGCTTCACAGCATCCTCTGCTGCCAAAGAGCAGAATCAGATCAGAAATGAGAAAACAGACTGAGCCTTCAAGCAAACATTATCGCTTTATACAGACAGACACTCCCCCCAGTTACCCTACAATGAAAAGAGGCAGATAACGAAGCTCTGATCTGCAACAGGGATCAATCTCCATGCCTTCCACAGAGCCACTTCTGAAACTGACCTACTCTTGGGTACTACAGGTGCAAATCAGTCCTGAAATGCCAGAAGCTCACCGTGTCCAAGGAATAGTCCCATACCAGAGTACAAACCTTGCAGGCCTGGGCCTTTTTATGCAGTACCTTTCAACATCTGGCTCTACATAGCCCTTTTCTTTATTATTCTGAATTCTTATTTTCACATAATTACAGAATGGGTCAGGTTGGAAGGGACCACTGTGGGTCATCTGGTCCAACCTCCCTGCCCGTGCAGGGTCATTCTAGGGCAGCACATTGCAGAGGATTGCTTCCAGATTGTTCTTGAATATCTCCAGTGAGGGACACTCCACAGCCCCTCGGGGCAACCTAGTGTCTAGTGTGCAGGCACCTACACAGTAAAGAAGCTCTTCCTCATGTTCAAGTGGAACTTCCTGTGCATCAGTTTCTGCCCATTGCCTCTTGTCCTATTGCTTGGCACCACTGAGAAGAGCCTGGCTCCATCCTCTTGGAACTATCTCTTTAGATATTTATACACATTAATGAGGTCCCCTCTCAGCCATTTCTTCTTGACGCTGAACAGACCCACCCCCCTCAGCCTTTCCTCCTAAGAGAGATGCTCTAGTCCCTTAATAATTTTTGTCACCTGTTGCTTCTCCAGCAGATGTCAGGGTAGTTAAAGTCCCCCACCAGGACCAGGGCCTGTGACTGTGAGGCTGCTTCAAGCTGCCTGTAGAAGGCCTCTTCAACCTCCTCCTTCTGACCAGGAGGCCTGTAGCAAACACCCACAATGATGTCGCCATTACTAGTCTGCCCCTTTACCCTAACCCATAAGCTCTTGCTCACTGTCCACTCCAAGACAGAGCTCGATATATTCCAAGTGTCAGATAGAGGGCAACTCCACCACTGCACCTGCCTAGTCTGCCTCCCCTAAACAGTGTGTAGCCCTTCATGACAACATTTCAATCATGCAAGCTATCCCACCATATCTCTGTAATCACAATGAGATCAAAGCCCTATGACTGCACACATATCTCTAGTTCCTCTATTTTATTAGGAAAGAAAACATGCTTCAACTTTAGAGAAAACAAAGAAGGTATAAGCATGTGCCCTCTAAGATCCATGGGGAATATTCCCTTTGCACTAAACTGGTGGTCCCATAAAGTAGTCAGGTTCTAAAATCTGTGAGTTTCTAAATTTCTAAAACCAGCAATGCCATACACAGGAGAGCAATTCCACATGGTTCACAGGATAACTCAATAAAATATATCTCTGCCCCTATTCCAGCCATGCCTGGCCCTGTACAAGCCTTTACTCACACAGCGACTATGCAGCCCCAAGTAGCTGCAGTGATCCTACCGAGTTATTTGAAAGCAGTACGCAGAAATGTTTCACGGGCACAAACACAGCATAACCTGCTCTCCCAAAGCCACGCTGGGCGGGCTGGAGTACCTCAGCACTCTCCCTACAGGTGCCTCTCCCTGCCACAGCATCCACACGGCGCAGGCAGCCCAGCTCCGGGGGCACCCAGCCGGGATGGTTACAGGGCACTCGCACTGCCCCATGGCACCCGGTGAGGGCAGGCTACCCTGTACAGACAGGTATGAGCCAGCAGTGTGCCCAGGTGGCCAAGAAGGCAAATGGCATCCTGGCCTGTATCAGAAGTAGTGTGGCCAGCAGGACAGTGATTCTTCTCCTCTACCATGCATTGGTGAGACTGCACCTTGAATACCGTGTCAATTTCCGGGCCCCTCAATTCAGGAAAGACATTGAGGTGCTCGAGCAGGTCGAAAGAAGGGCAACAAAGCTGGTGAAGGGGCTGGAATGCAATTTTTATGAGGAGCAGCTGAGGGAGGTGGGATTGTTAGGCTTGTGGAGGCTCACGGGGTACCTTATCACTCTCTACAACTGCTCGCAAGGAGGTTGTAGCCAGGTAGGGGTCGGCCTCTTCTCCCAGGCAACGAGTTACAGAACAAGAGGACATAGTCTTAAGCTGTACCAGGGGAGCTTCAGGTTGGACATTAGAAAGAATTTCTTCACAGAAAGGGCGATTGGGCATTGGAATGGCCTGCCCAGGGAGGTGGTGAACTCACCGTCCCTGGAGGTGTTTAAGGTAAGACTGGATGTGGCACTTACTGCCATGGTCTAGCTGACACGGTGGTGTTGGGTCATAGGTTGCACTCGATGATCTCAGAGGTCTTTTCCCACGTAATCGATTCCCTACACAGACAGGGCGCGCAGCCTCTCCCCATCCCGCCCCGGCCCGCCCCGGCCCGGCCCCCGGCCCGGCCCCCGGCCCGCCCCGCCGGCCGTGCGGTGCCGGTGCCGGTCATGGCGGCGGCAGCGCGGCTGTTCCGCGGGGCTGTCCGGGGCCCGTCCACCCTTGTTCTTGCCCGGGCGCTGAGCTCCGCGCCGCCGGGGCCGGCGGGCCGGGGAGGGCGGCGGGCCGCGCTGGCGGCCGCGGGGGCGCTGGGCGGGCTCGGGCTGGCGCTGGGGCTGTGGCGGCGGCAGACCGCGCTGGCGGCGTCCCGGGAGGACGAGGAGGACAAGGAGCTGCGGCAGCGGTTCATGGCGCCGCCCGTGAGCGGGCTGCGAGAGCTGCGGCGGCGGCGGCGGGAGCTGCGGAGCCGCATGGAGCTGCTCATCATGGAGACGCAGGCGGAGGTGTGCCGCGCCCTGGCCGCGCTGGACCCCGGCGCCTCCTTCTCCGTCGACACCTGGGAGAGGAAGGAAGGTACGGGGGAAGCCGCGGGGGACGCCGCGGGCGCCGGCACCCCGGGCTCGGTCACCCCGCGGTGACCCTGCCCCTGGCCTTGGCAGGCGGAGGCGGCATCAGCTGCGTACTGCAGGACGGCGAGGTCTTCGAGAAGGCGGGTGTGAATGTGTCCGTCGTGTCCGGGCTCCTGTCCGAGGAGGCAGCGCGGCAGATGCGGAGCAGGGGGAAGTCTCTGAAGGCCAAGGACGGTAAGGTGTCCGGCCGGGAGGTGGGGTAGGGAACCGGGACACGTTCACCTGAGTATTCCCGTGCGGGACTCTCAGCAGTCTGGCCTTTGAGCAGAACCTGAGGAAAGCCAGACTGATCAAAGCTCGAAGGGTTTCATTTGTTTCAAGGTGATTTCTAACCAGTAAGCCTGACAGGTGGACTTTTGTATCCCTAAAAAGCCATGTATCGGAGTGCTTCTCCCTCCGTCTTGCTGCTTTAAGGAATGTATTATAGGCACGGGTGATTTCTCAATAATGACACTGTAGCTTAATAGTGAAACAGTGCAGGAGTTATGTACCAAAGAGGGGAAGGGAGGGAACCAACACCACCTGAAGGGTAAAGAGCACTCAACCCATGTTTGTGTAGCAAAGGGCAGTTGTGAGGACTGGGGGTGGTTGAAACCCTTAGCTGTGCCTTATGTTTTAAATGGTCTTCATTTAATGGGTTCTCTAACATGTTGCTGCATTTTAGGACTAATACCAAAAAAAGGTGCACAGAAGAGCATGAATGAGAAATGAATTGCACATTTACTAATAATTATGGTGATCCAACATGAGAAATTTTCCTGTCACGAAACCTAAGGAAAAATAGCGATGTTCCTTAAATGATAGTAAATGAAGTTTCTTGAAAAACTAAAGGGCTTTCTTGGTGCATCTCTTTATCTAGGGAAGCTGCCTTTTTGCGCCATGGGTGTGAGCTCCGTTATCCATCCAAAGAACCCTCATGTTCCAACCATGCACTTCAACTACAGATACTTTGAAATCGAAGAAGCAGATGGTAAGAATTTTAATCCAATGAAGCATGTATGAAATGTATGACTTCACATGAAGGAAGCGTGAATGCATGGCTAGGGTTAAGAGGTTAAGAACCAGTCCAGGTTTGTTCCCAGCTGTGCCAAGAATCTGTTGTTTAGCATTGGATCTCCTTATCTCTGGCCTTTGTGCATTTGTAAAATGAGAGTAATGAGTGCATGTGGTAGAGTTTTGCAAAGGGGTTTGCTTTTTGTAGAGTATACCAGGGGTTTCAGATCGAAGTTAAAAATGTAGGAGGTTGTAAATAAATGTGAAATACATTCAGAGCAGCAATCCTAAAATTTAGAAGAAGAAATGTCTGTGAAGGGCTGATAAACATTCTGGTCATGATGTGCTTTTGTCTCAGCAGCTGGAAGGACGTACTGTCAGAAACACTGCTCACTAACTGCATTGTGCCTTATTTCCCCAACTTTCTGCAACTTGGCACTGTCAGAAATGGGACCCTTGTCTAGGTGGTCAAACACTGAAGGGCCATCTGTATCGTGTGACAGTGTATGTACTGTCAGAAGCTCAAAGAGAGTTTTCTTTCAGTTGTTTTGCCACAGCATTATGGATCATTTCTAGCCAGTTAATTCCCTGGATGTAATAATGATGTTCCCTTTCTTTGGCACACAGTAAAATGTTTCTGCATTCTTGAATAAGAGTTGCCAGCCCATCTTGTGAAACTGATATTCTGTAGTCAGGATCAGTGGTCCAAAATACTGAATGAATGGTTTTAACTGCTTTGAAATTTCTTTCATGTTTTCCTGAAGTCACTGGAAATGGAAGTTCACTACCTTGAAGTCAAATCTTTCATGATTGAGGTTTAGGGGCACCACTGAATAATGATTTTGTTTTGTATTTTAAAAGTAGTTGTTAATGCTTTGTGAACCTTGCTGTTTAGAAGTGTAAAAGAAAAATGTTGCTGCTTTCCTCTCTTATAGGAACTAAGCAGTGGTGGTTTGGTGGTGGGACTGATCTCACTCCAACTTACCTGAATGAAGAGGATGCTGTTCATTTTCACAAGACTCTGAAAGAAGCCTGTGACAAGCATGATCTGAAGCTGTATCCCAAGTACAAGAAATGGTATGTGGGGAGAGATGCACTTGGGGGGGAGTAGAAAGCAGCACTAGATGTTGCCAGTTAAGTGTACTCTAAGAACTGTAGGTTCTGCTGCCTTTTAAAAAGTATCAGCAAACCCTAAGGAAAATTAGCGGAAGTGTACTGGGACAAAATGTAGTCTGAAGAAATCTCTTATTTACAGAAGCCTGTCAGCCCTTTCAAATTAGGGGGCTGACAACTAGGATCATAAGTCTATAGCCCAAATAAAAACCAGGCTGACTCTACAAGAGTGGTTGTAAGCCACAGACTTCACTAGGCAACTTAAAAATTCCGTTTAACCTCTAGTGTTAAACCAGGACAAGATTTTTTCCCCACGGACTTGCACAAATCCTGCTTACAGTGAGCTCATGGTAAATGTGCATGATTCAGTGTGAGCTCTTGGGCCAGCGTTGCGGTTCTGAAAATCCCACTCAGATTTTTCTGTCTTCACTCTGACCACCATGGCCTGTTTTGTTTTTCTGGTTTTTTCCAGGTAAGTAAAGGAGATTGTCCTTAATGTAGAAGCTTCATAATTTAGATGAAGCTGTAGTTTTTTCCCCATGACAAATTCACTGTGAGTTCAACAGCATATTCTCTAAGATGCAAACTTTGAATGTTCTTCTTGAGCTAAGAGATACAAGTGATCTGATCCTTCACTAGTAAGCGGAGGCTTGCTGCTCTATGTCTGATAACCCTATCTGCCACAGGGTGTGGTATCCAGGAAGGAGGGGATACCCTTTTGTAAGGCACTAGGTCTCCTCTGAGGACAGGAGATAAAGTGGGTGTTATAGTTAGGGTGGCAACCACTTAGGAGGGAGATACATCTTAGAGCCTTGAGATTACAGTCTTGTTCTCTGAGGAGTTTTTGCATGGTAGTTCAGAGTATGTGCCTTAATGGTCAGGTCGTTTGCAGCCTAAGTAGGCAGCTGCAGGGGGGGTGGTCCGGAGACCTTTTCCCACCTTTCTCAAAGATAAAAGCTATTGTTACATTTACCACATTGTCTTCCTGATCTAGGTTTAAGACTTTTGTCAGGCTTGTTCTCTTTTTGGCATTTCTCACTCAGCCTTTTTACTTAACTCTTCCTGCTGCCATTAAATAAAAAAGCTGATCGTCACAGTGAATAAAAAAATAACTTACGTTAGCTGTTACATCTCCATGCCTCTTCTGCTTTGGCCATGCCATATATATTGCTTGAGAACGACTGAGGATGGACACATGTATGGAAAACTAGTTCTAAAAGACGGCAAGGTGTTCTTAATGTTGATGGTTTCTGCTTCCTATTTTCTTTCCATTTCTTTTCTATGTGAAGACTTGCAGGGCATGACTGCCCAATAAAGCAACTATAAGCAAGATAGGGTGTGGATACAATGAATCATTTATATATAGTAATTGCACAGCTACATACTCCCTGTAAATACAAAAGAGATTAATTGCCTTTCTATTGTAGAATAAACTGCCCTTACACATTTATAAACTTGAACATAAGCCATGAAAAGCCACTGCTATGATGACTCAATCTTACAAGTTTTAACTATTAAAAAGCCTTTTTCCATGGAAGGCTGCCATGACACTTGCTTTCTTATCTGGTGTTAGATTTTTAGATTCCTTTTGTTTTGATGAAGAAAATCAATTCTTTTACTAGAATGGCAAAAATAATAAAGAAATTCTCTTCCAAGTCTGAATTAAACTGAAAGCTGTACAAATAATTTGGGATCTGCATATAATGCTGGGAATGAAATCTAGCAAGAGCTCTTAGGGCGAAGTTTTGAGATCAGGTGACCCTGTTCTGAGTAGGTAGGGGATATGGACTGGATCACTCCATGTGGATGCAGCTGCCATGGAGTTTGAGTGTTACTGTTCAGTGACTGTGTGGTGACATGTAGCTTTGCAGAGACCGTCTAATCAGAGCTTTCCTGCAAGTGACACAGGAGTGCTTTCCAGAGGGTGCTGCACCATCCTGGCTCTTGGTAGTCAGTAAAACAGTGGGGCACTGGGCAATGCAGGAACTGACTTCTGGTCAGTGCTAGTCCTGTGCCACGTAGCTGTTTGGAGTTCTGTTCATTGCTTTGAATACTGTGGACCATATTAATAAATATCTGGTACTTCTTCTAGGTGTGATGACTACTTCTATATCAAGCACCGTGGCGAGCGAAGAGGGATTGGAGGCATATTCTTTGACGACGTGGACTCTCCCTCCAAGGAGGAAGTGTTCCAGTTTGTGAAGAGTTGTGCCAAAGCTGTTGTGCCTTGTTACATTCCCATTGTGAAAAAGCACCGCCATGACTCCTTCACGCCAGAGGAAAAGCTATGGCAGCAGCTTCGGAGAGGACGGTGAGTACTGAAGGAGCTAAAGAATACACAGGAGGTGGATTATGCTGGCAAGAAAAAAAACTGAGCTAGTTCTTTATGGTTACAGGTTAATGGCCTGTTGTAGTGTGGGCTAAAAAAGCTCATCAGAGAATTTCAACATTTTTGTGCACAGAACTAATTTTGAAATCCAATGCTGAGTTGCCAAAAGGGGTGCAAAGAAGGTAGTAGCACGCCCTTATCTGTATTTCCCACCTTCCCATGTTAGAATACAAGCAACACAAACAAAATGCCACAGTTTCTCTCCAGCTCTTTCAAAAACCAAAAGAAGCTGCTGCTGTGCAACAGGCAAAGGGGTATGGGTGTGCTTGGTGTCCTGAATTCAGCCCTCTCCTGTGGCCCAGTCATATGGGATATAGGACTACCCTTGTCACATGAGGAGCCTGAGGGTGAGGGAATTGTGCTTCCTATTCAGTAATGAAACAAAATTTCACAAAGTCAAGAAGTAACTGTGCTCAAGTACCTTCACCTTCTTACATACATATTTGTTCCATCTGATCTTGGCATTGAAATGAGGATTCCTGTAAAGGAGTAAAGATACAGAGGGTTGGGTTTTTTTATTCTGGCATGGTCCAAAGTTGCTGTAACTTAAAAGACTTTGGAGGATGCTTCTAATGTGACCAACTGTTAATGTTGCAAAAGCTTAAGTACACTGGTCAATACAGTTGTACTCCGTTCCCTGTATCCTGTGATTGTGTAAGCACATGGAGAAATGAGAACACACATGCTTTGTGCAGAAGTAGGGTCTTCAGTTTCTGTCTCTTCTGCAGAGAAATCTGTGATACTGGCATGGAAAGAGTATAAGCATTTAAGTTTAGATCACTGGCCTGCAGCCATTAGTCAGATAAGCAAGTGTCCTTAATTTGGTGGGACTGTTCCTGGGAACTTGGGGCTTCCAGGATCCAGTCTGTGGATGGGATTTAGCAAACTTTAGTTTATAAGGGGGAACAGCTTCTTTAAGCTGCAGCCAGAACCAGCTCTTGAGGCCTGCCTATTTCCCTGTGTCTGTTTGCAGGTTGTTTGGCTAGGTAAAGCTTTCCATTTTTGCAGATAGGTAAGAACTCTTCCCTTCCTGTATCTCTGTTAAATACTAACACGTCTGTACTAGCTACTAAAATAATCCCTGATGAATTGTCACTGCTCTGTTCCTATACTGTGGGCAGAAAAGTGGTATATTTTGATATTACAACTCCCAGCCAGCACTCTGAAGCTGTTTGACTTCTGCTTCTCTCCAGATCTCCCCAAGAAACAAAAAATACTGTTCAGACCTTACTGCTTATGTGTCCTTCAGCATGGAGGACTGCACAGTAGAATTCTTTCTCTGGTTATTCTCAGTTCCTTTAAGGCCCCTCTTTATGTCTGATGCCACCACACAAAAGAGAATAACCAAGGTAAACATGGTGTCGAGCTTGTCAGCAGGGTTGAGGTCTGGGAGAAGCATAGCACAGTACAGCAGCCTGCAGAACGCTCTCCTTTGAACAGTCTGTCTGCTCTAGTCTGTTTGCCAAGGTCACTACTCCCTGTGCTTTGTGGAGTGGCAAGGTGATAATTGCATTCCTGCAGAGGATGCTGAAGAACAGTTCACTCCAAAACAGGGTTCATTCTGACACCCAACACAGCAGAAAGATAGGCCGGTTTTGTTCGGTATCTGCTAGTTGAAGAAGGCACAACCAAATTCTGCTAATAAACTTGTTTTTTTCTTTGCATCTCTTCACTCCCCGTAGGTATGTAGAGTTCAACTTGGTTTATGACAGAGGTACAAAGTTTGGCCTCCTGACACCAGGATCAAGGATTGAAAGCATTCTTATGTCTCTGCCCCTGACTGCAAGGTAAGGGTGTAGCTATGTGGGACTGCAGGTAGGTTACTGTTCTTATTAAAATAGTTAATAGAATTAAATCAAAGGTCTGTCGTGGTGTCCCATCACTTTACAGTGGCTAGTTCATGCCTGATAAAAGAACTGCCCAAATACATGCAGATGCTTCTCTGATCTCCTACACTCAGCTAGTTGCCAGTAGTGTGCGGCTGAAATATTTTCTGACAAAAAAAATGGATGGTTTTTCCGCTTAGTACCTCTTGATAGATTTTTCTCTCCTTGCTCCATGGATTTTTGTTTAGTAGCTCTTTGAAATTGTGTGAGATTCTGGCAGTCCTGACAAATGTGTGACAAGGAGCTTCATAGTTTAACTGTGTGTTGTATGAAAAAGTGCTTCTTCATTTTCTACTTGCCTCTGATGGCTTCGTTTGATTTTTCACTGAGTAACATGATTTTCTTGCTGTTGTGTTTCTCCATAACTGTTCTTATTTTACAAACTTCTGTTTTTTCATTGCCAGTTTTCCAGGCTAACAATTCCTGGTATTTTTAGTCTTTGTACAGTCACTGTTCCATCCTTTTGATCACATTTGCCACTTTCTCTAGGCTTAAGTTTTCTGTGCCCTTTCTGAACTAGGGATAAGGAACCAACACCATAAGATACATATGTGTATCCAAGATCATACAGTGGCATAATGAAGTTTTAATTCATTATTCCTTTCATAATCCTAGTATTCTGTTTGCTGGTTTTGACTGCAGCTCAGCATTAAGCTGGCTTTTTCATAGAACTGTTACAATGCGAGAGTCTTTTCTGGGCAATACAATTGAACTCAAATTTAATTCAATCTCTATACAGCTTTTTCTGTGTCCATCACTTCACACCAATCAACAGTGAATTTCACCTGCCATTTTATTGCTCTGTTGCTTGGCTTAATAATAACTGTTTTCAACGGCTTTTTTTGTTTTAACCCATCTTGCTTACTCTTGCAATATCAGGAAATTCAGTCACTTACTGTTTACCCCCATTTTCAGGTTGCTTTTAGGTAACACTGAGTAGCACAGACCCTATCATGAATTCCGTAAAGTTTACTAGTGACCTTCTTCTGCCTCCTTCCTCCCTTTGCCTGCTGCCCCTTAACCATGAAGGCAGTCCTGTTCTCACCATATACCTTCATCCCACTGCCAACACTACATGAGTCCCTGACTTGGTGGTGTAGCACACTCCTATCTTCTGATTTCGTTTCTAGGATGATCTGGTTTTGCTTGTTTTCATCAGTGTAAATAGCTTGCTTCACAGCATGAATGGTTCCTTCCTGGGGAAAAAATGGAAAGAGGGTGTACCCATCTCTGACTGCTGATCCTTTCTCTGTCACGCCTCTTTTAATTGCCTTTTCAATAAAAAAGTGATCTTTCATCACCTTTGTTTTTAAAACCAAGATTCAACAAGGACTTGTAGAGCTTCCAGTCCATATTCTGGAAAACCTAAATCTTGTGTCCTCACTGTGAAAATTCTATGGGTTCCTTTTCTACTCATCTTCCTTGTGATGTTAGTGTGTCACAAGAGACTGCTAGAAGATTTTTGCAAATCTACCTGCATGCATTTTGGGGCACGGGGGCATTGCTCTTCCCTTTTTCCTTGTTCTTCCAGCTTTTTCAGAAGTTGGTAAAAAGATGAAGCTAACATTTTTCCTGTGTACCCCGGTGTTGATAATATTTGTTTTTACTGAACTTATTGTTTTTACTGAACTTAAATATCTGTCTCCTGAGCTGAGTATCAACTGTGTATTTAGCTTTGCATCCCCAAAAAAGGCAACTCCAGTCCAAACACTGCCTGGTCCGGGAGAGGTGGCAGCCAGCTGGGCAGTCTGAGTGAGCTTCCCCTCTCCCTGCAGGTGGGAGTACATGCACACCCCGCCAGAGAGCTCCAAAGAAGCAGAAATCCTGGAGGTTCTGCGAAATCCCAAAGACTGGGTGCACTGACACGGATCATGAAGAAGATGGATTGCTCACACTGAGCCATTTGAGAGAACGGGAACGCCTGCCAACCAGCTCATTGGCACTGCTGTTGCATGGCGTTTCATTGTGTCTATTTATATCTTGCCTGGTGCCTTAATTATGCTGTAGACTTGTCACAACTTGCAAATACGTGAACTCACTCTTTTCGATTGATGGGCTAATATTGTCACCCCCTGTTGCTGTTGCCTTGTGAAGGACTGGTGATGGCCTCACAGGGCTACTGTGCATGTTTTAGGACTTTCTCAACTCATGTGATTGACTGCAAAATGGCAAATTACTGTGAAGTGTTCTCCCAGTGAAATGAAACCATTATCTGTGCCTAGAAAATGTTTGGATGCTTAAACACATTTTTGTAAAGAATAAAGGGAATATTTGATATGATTTTAAACCTTAAACTCTGCTTTCGGGAAGTTGTGGAAAAGGTGGTACTTAATCACATGTATTTTGATGCTGCAGTAGCGTGACTTGGCCGATCAGTACCTGGGAGAATCCGGGTTGGGGCACCATGTTACCTGAGGAGAGGGGAAGGCTGGCTGTGCATTTGAGGAGAAAATCTTTCAGCATTGAGCATGTCAGCTGTGGTCACGACAGGATAACACCCCGGCCTCAGGCCAGCTCCTTTGCCGAGGAGGTCAGAGATGGATCAGGAAGCCTGTTGCCCATTGCCCCCAGGGTCTCTAAATAGCACTTCACACTGTTCCCAGCCCCGGAATGATTGTTCTTTTGATTCCCGGCACAAACCTCGTCGAGGAACGTCTAGGGAAAAGCAAAGGGACGCCGAGTGCAATTTCCCCTTGCCTGAGGAAAAAACGACAGCTCCACCTCCCCGTCGGGGAATCGAACCCCGGTCTCCCGCGTGACAGGCGGGGATACTAACCACTATACTAACGAGGAGCGGGATGTCCGGGATTTTCCTTCCGCCACCACGGCCTACGACCTCACCTGTCGCGGGTTCCTGAGCTGCGGGTGCCGGCTGTCCCTGCGCCCGGGCGGCGTGGGGACATGTCCCGCGTCGGCTCAAGGTCGCTGTCGCCGCCTGATCGCCTAAGTCAAGCTTCCCGCCGGGGGCCACCGCGTTCGCTTCCGTGTTGCCATCCGCCACTAAAATAAAATTAAGTAATAGTCTGCTAAATCGGCCATCTCCTCACCTTCAGGGAAGAAAAGGGAATGGCCCGTACGGGGATCGAACCCGCGACCTTGGCGTTATTAGCACCACGCTCTAACCAACTGAGCTAACCGGCCCTCGCGCATCCCTCCTGGGTGCGCGCACCTGAGGCGCTACTACGGACACGGCGCTGGTGGAATTCCTGCCGGGACCGGATCCGCGGCGCTACTACCGCCGCTCTCGTTAAACTCCGCGTCGGCAGGTAATTCCAGAGAGCCGCGGCAGAGCAGCACGGGCATTAATAGGGGCGACGAGTGTTGCTAAAAAAAAAGGGAGACTTCAAAACTTGTTCGTTTCTCTCCCTCCTCCAGTCCGCGGCCGCACCCCCTGCACGGACACGAACCTCCCGCCGCGGGGGAAGCCCCACCGAAAAGAGCCGCCTCCCTCCTTCCCTCCCTCGCACGCCGCGAGGAGGCGAGCGGTCCCAGGGGATAAAAAACGAAGTCGCCTCCCCGTCGGGGAATCGAACCCCGGTCTCCCGCGTGACAGGCGGGGATACTCACCACTATACTAACGAGGAGCGCGGTGGTGGGTTTGCCCCTCCCAACGCACCCCAAGAGCCAGCTCCGCCACCCCGCACCTTGTGGAACCCCTGCCCGTCCCTGGCGCTCCAAGGCCTTCCCTAAAATTGCAATAACGGATCACGAGGAAAATGTTGCACCAAGGAAGGACACGCGCATTTCCTAAACCTATGGGGAGCCCTGTTTTCTACTGTGGTGAAACCACCTGTTCTCAGAGGAAAGTGAACCCCTCCTCAGGTGGCAAGTCAATTGGACAACTTGTAAAATCAAGACATTAAATTAAAAAATCTAGAAAATACTTAGGAATCAAATGCCTGTGAGTCAGTGAAAAAGTTGCAGAGGAAGAGGACATCACCAAATTCCAAGCCCTTTCCTTCACAAACTGTCAGTACGAGTGCTAAGCTGAACTCCTCAAGTATCCTCTCCTTTGCTGTTTCACTTGCCACTAACACCACCTATCATAAAATACAATAATAAAAACCACTAGGAAGCCAAAAAGAAGGCAAGTGTCTGCATAGAGAAAGCATATATAAATGGATTATGACAATGCAAGAGCTGCCTCAAAACCAGGCAACATTTAACACAGACATTCACAACCCTCTCCACAGAAAAGATCCCAAAGCTGCCACTACAGCAACAATAAATATGTGGTAGGAGGAGACAGTCATAGATCCAGTGCAAGAAAATATGCAGTTAGTTAGGAAGAAATAGGACAGGATACATCTGATTGAAAAAAGAGCAGAAAAACCCAGATGTGCATGAACAAGAAAGAAACAGAAACCCACACAATAATGGCTTCTAAATTGAAAAAGCATTATTTACCAATGACATGTAGGGGCTTTAAAAATTGTGGGCAATCCACATAAAATAATTATTTTATTAGCTACAGACCTAGAAGAATCTGCAAAAAGTCATATACCTAAAAAAGCAACCCTGACGTGCTCCAAATTCAACAGGCAGTGTTTTCTTTTTGTGGCCCCTCAGCAGCACTGCTGGGTCACTAACCCTGTGGGACTCCAAGACTGTAGGTTTTTCTCCATCAAAGAGACCACAGTCCTCAGGAAGCTGATCAAAAGATTCTGGGAAACAGTATTGAAGCAATACAACCAGTCCAGAGGCCAGATAAAGAGTGCCTGTTGTAAGCAGAATATGGATTTTAAACTCTCTCTTATGCTCACTCAAAACCACACTTCTAACGGATTTTGTTAGAATTTTGAGACCAAGGAGTGTCATAACAAACACACTGGTCAGAGAAGAGAGAAGCTGTAAAGTTTACTTTATGTTTCTGCTCTTGTAAGTAGACTTCATCTCACTGTAAACTAATTTCAGAACCACGCGATAAGACCTTCTCCAAAGCAGGAGATTGCTCAGTAAAGAAAGAGCATTTGCAAATTTGTGTGCCAGGAGCCACAAGATGTGATGCAACTTCAATAAAACACAGTGCTTTCCAGTAATCTTGCATGCCATAGACAGATGAAATAACAGATGTAATCTAAACCTTTTGCTTTTTGCTGAGTTTGATCTCCCTGTGCAGTCTTTTGTAGGAGATCATCCTCATCCTTATCCTCACATATCGGGACATAAGAAATGCCAAGTATTTGGGCATTATTTGTTCTGTTTCTAAAGAAATAACATTACTGAATTAAGTGTCTTGGTGTTGCCACTGCATTTTTTCTCTGAAAGCTTTTAATGACAATGTGCAATGATTTGATGTATATAGAAATCCTGTAGCTACAGCTGTAAGTTGTGATCCTGCTGCCTCCTCCACTTTTATGAGCCAGCTCCTTTATACAAGCTTGCTTTAGAGGGCCCTGAAAGCTGCTGGTCAGAGTAAGGTAGCCTGAAAGAACGCTGATCTGGAACACATCTTTGTCATGTGAGTCATCACCAGTGCTCATCTAAATGATGACGGATGGAGCGAAATGACACACGTACATGTGAGAAATTGGCTATAAAGGTGCCCAAAGACGGTGTGCACTTCTGTGCCACATATCAAATGCCAGCTGCTGATCTGCAGATTCCCGATCCCCCTACACTGTGTAACACTACAGGAAATCATATTTTAAATTGTTATTTTTTCCCCTTTTTGGTACTTAATGCAAAACCGATTACACAGTGTCAAGTTTGCTGCCTTCTGAGCAGAGAAAACGCCAGCAGCTTTCCTTGGGAGATCTGGAAGTTCTGACTGCTGTAAAGCACCCAAACCATGCCCACGCCTCTCATCGATTACCAGATAGCGGACAACAGGTTGGGTCGGAGGGTTGTGGAGGAGTGGGTTGCCCGTTCAGCTACACCCTTCAAATCCGCTCCGTGAAGCGGGGCTCCCGGCAAACCTCGTGTTTATACTCGGAGAAAGGCAAACGCGGCAGATCGCGGGCAGCAGGCAACCACACAAACCTCTGTAGGCTCTCCCTTCGTGCCCCCTCGGTCCCGCCAGCGCGGTGCTTCCCTGCGGGCGCCCAGGCTGCCGCCATTTCCCTCAGGCGGCTCCCGCCCTCGGGGCGGCCGCCGGGCTGCGCGCCCGCAGCGCGTTCCTCGTTAGTATAGTGGTGAGTATCCCCGCCTGTCACGCGGGAGACCGGGGTTCGATTCCCCGACGGGGAGGCGGCAGCGCCGTTTTGCCGCTGTCGCCCTCCTTTTCCTTGCCGAGGTTCCCGCCCGCCCCGTCCCGTTCCCTCCCCACCGGGA